CTATTATCTCAAGCTAAAGCCAACCATCAGAGTAGGTTGGATGAACATAAGTCTCCACATTTGAATTGAACTTAACAAACACTTTGTTGATAGATAAAGTTCAGAAAATAAACCAATTCTCACATCTGTATGTATATATTATATATGCTGAATGCTATGTTACTTAACTCTAAAAACAAATGAATTTCTTTTGTAGAAATTTAAAAGGAAGCTTCTAAACAACTTTTATATAAATACAGAGGTGGAGTCACAAGGCTGGCTCATTCAACTTAAAAAGATGAATGTTAGGTTTACCTGATGATTAAAACTCCTTGGTTAAAAAGGTGAATTAGAATTCTGCTATTTTCTTCTTTTTTCTTGTTAGGAAGAAGTGTTTTTATCATGCTTTGCTTATCAGTCATAACATTTTAGGAGGATGTTCTCTAAGTCCATTTTTCCCCCAATATGAAACAGGATGTCTGGCGTGAATTACATTTCCTTTATTGTCTTGTGTTAAATTGCAAGTACAGTTCTACATCTCAATATAAGAAATAAGTGTGACATAGCACTTTTCCAAGACAATATTCTTGAAGTATTAACTAGGGAAATTAATCCATCAACCTGTTAGACGATGATGGTTTAAGGAGACCTAGTCTATCTTTTCCAGCTACTAAGGTCATGTGTTTTGGCTTTATCCACTAGAGGGGGTAATGTTCTTCCATCCCAAAAGGACATGGAATTATCCCAACAAGATTTAATGCACACAATAACCTTGCATCTTTGAAACCAGGTTAATCAAGTAATATAATAAAATGGATACCAAAAATATTAATAAAAGTTGACCAATCCTTTGCCACAGAAAGATCAGAAGTAGTTATTGCTCTTACCCATCCTAAATTCTTGTAAAATCTGTGTTTGCAAAGATTGATAAGTATGTTTTAGCTGAGAAAGGACAATTTACATAAAGTAATGCTTTCTATGACCATTTCAAAAAATACTATGCATTTTTTTCACGTGATTAACTTCAGCTTATTGTGATTAACAATTGCATAGTTGTCTGTTTTGCTCAGTAAGGAGGAAAATCACCTCTTTATATTGTTAGGCTGTACTTAAGAACAATGGGGGAATTAAGTAAATTTATAGAAGTTTATAACAAGTATCATAAATACATAAATATGGTGTGGTAGAACATGGTGGAACAGTGATACAGGCTCTGGAATACTTGAAGATCAATAACGTAGATACAGAACTAATTTTTCTATACATAAATATATCATTGTCCCTGTTTACCACAATAATGATTTCCTTTTAATAAATTTCCAGTCAATAAGATAAGAATGTTTTTTCTTTAAATCTACTGTAAAATAGCTTAAATTGCAGAATAGCCAGTCATATTTTGTTGTTAAAAGATAATCAGACTAATTGGTTAGAAATAACCAGTTGCCAAACTGATGAGATGTCATAATTATAATTAACTATGCTATTTGGTCAGTTGTTTAGCTACTTCTATGAATAAGGAAAAGCCTAATCTAAATGCAGAGTAATTAGTTCAGCTGAAAAGAAGAGATATAATTTGAGAAATGCAAGTATATTACATCAACTGGATTTTTGGTAATTCTAGTCATTTTTAAGAAATAAAACATATTTCTGATTCCTGAAGATTATTCCCCTTTAATAACAGCTCCAACAGTGATTTCAAAGGGTGGGTGAATACCAGACCCATCATATAATTTTTGAAAATATTCTTGCCTAACAATGGACTATGGTAAAAGGCTGTGGGTACCTTGGTGGTAGATATACACCTGATGTGTGGTGACATACATCTGAAGAGGGGGGATTCTGTATTTCTGAATCATATACAACATTATAAACCCATGTTACCTTAATAAAATTATTTTAAAAGAAAATAAAAATATATATAGAAGAAAGTATAGGTAAAACACTAAAAGTTATACATTGCAATAACATCTTCAAAGACTCATCACCCAAAGCAAAGATAGTCAAGGAAAAGATAAACACCTGGGATTACATCAAACTGAAAAGCTCTGCACAGCAAAAGAGACATTAACCAAAACATAGAGACACCCCACTTATTGGGAAAAAAATCTTTGCACTCCAGTCAACTGATAAGGGACTGAACAAAGATATACAAAGAAGTCACAGGACTTCAACAAAAACAAAATAAACAATCCAGTCAAGAAATGGGCAGAAGGACTTAAAAGACATTTCTCCAAAGAGGAAATGCAAATGGCCAACAGGCATATGAAAAAAATGTTCAACATTCCTTATAATCAGGGAAATGCAAATTAAAACCACGCTGAGATATCACCTTACACCAGTAAGAATGGCACATATCAAAAAAACAAGCAACAACAAATGTTGGCAAGGATGTGGTAAAAAAGGAACTCTCCTACATTGCTGGTGGGAGTGCAAACTGGTCCAACCACTATGGAAAGCTGTCTGGAGGCTCCTCAGTCTACCAAAAATGGGGCTACCATATGACCTGGCAATTCCACTCCTAGGCTTCTACCCAAAGGACACAAAAACATTGATTCAAAAGACCACCTGTACACCTATGTTTATTGCAGCACTATTTACAATAGGTAAAAGCTGGAAACAACCCAAATGTCCAAAAATAGATGACTGGATCAAGATGTGGCATATATACATAATGGAATATTATTCAGCATTCCAAAAAGATAAACTCATGGCATTCGCAGCAACATGGATGGAGCTAGAAGGAATTATGCTCAGTGAAATAAGCGAGAAGGAAAAAGAAAAATTTCCGATGGTTTCACTTACAACGGGAATATAGGGGAACCAAATAAGACATCAGTGTAAAAAATAATAACAGTACAAAAACACAGCATAGCAAAAACAGACAATTACAAATCAGAGACATCCTGCAGGGAAGGAGGCGGGAGAGGGATGGGAGGGAGGGAGGGAGGAGCACAGGGGACTGAGGTGATGGTGCACGGGTGCATTGGGGAATGAAACTCTATGGGGACTACATCTGAGGGGGTGAGGTAAAGCAAATATTGTTTAAAAATGAACAATGATGTAAAAAAATATAATTAAAAATGTTTTAAAAAATTTTTAAATTAATTAAAAAATAAAAGAAAATAAATTAGAAAATAAAATAAAATTAATTTAAAATAAAAGAAAATAAAAATAAATGCAATGAAATTAACAAAAAAGGAAAGAAAAAAAATATGCCTGCCAAGAGCTCCTACAGAAATGACTCAGCAGGTTTGGGGCAAGAGCTCAGCACGAGGACCTTTTACAAATCTCTGTGTCACTTTAATGGACAGGCCTGGTTGAGCAACAATCCCCTGAAGGAGTCAATTGTGCCTGATGATTGTTTTTTTTTTTTTGCTTTCATTTTTTGATCACTAGAAGGTATAGTATTAGGCCTTTGAAAGCAAGAGAAGAAAATCTTAGTGAATTAATGTGAGTTTTTACAGGAAAATCTCTTATTGTATAAGTGAAAGTAAAGGCCTCAAAAATACCTATGTGGGAGAGTGAATTCCACATTACAGTGCAAATAAACATCCTTTTGAAGTCCTGCATTGTTTCTTAGCAATTTGTACTTCCTGGAGATCATCCAAATACAACTAACAAATGCTCGAAAAAAGGACTTATGGCATCATGGAAAATTTTTTGCTATAGACAAGAACAAATATTTACAAACAATAATTCTAAACAGACCAAAGACCCTATAAAAAACTATTTTTTCTTGTAGCTATATAATCATTAAAATACAGTTATTTAAAATGTGAGCAATAGATATATTTACTATATACATTAAAACAAATTTTAGTGAGGTCACATCTCAAATGGAGATTTTGTAATGACTGGAAGTTAAATTATATGCAACTAAAATAACTTTGGACTGTTTCACCATAAAATATGTAGCACCTGTGATATTTTACTATAAATAGGATTTTATACATATTGTAGATAGCTATAATCAATTTACAGTGCATAATTTACTATAATCAATATAAGAACAAATTTACTGTAAAACAAAAACAGGTCTTTTGTTTTTCTTCTGGAGAGTCTTTTTCAACCATTTTAACACTTACTGAAAAGATAATATAGCTAAGAAGATATACAGGGCATAACTCCTAGACCAATGGAAGATTCCTATGTATGCAAATAATTGCAATGTAGTAGTACATTCTGCCCTAAATGAAAGATGCCAGGAGGTATGGGGACCCAAAAGGAAAAGTACCCAACTCTGCTTTTAAGTCCAGAAGTGAGGTGTTAGCTCACACAATGGTGCGTGCGTGTGTGTGTGTGTGTGTGTGTGTGTGTGTGTGCCTTGACAACAGTATGTTTACAAATGACTGAAAGGGAGCAGGGCTAATCACAGAAGAGTCAGAAATAGTTCCAAGGTTCATTACTTCATTTCATCCAAGTTTTTGGAGTACTTACTCTGTGCAACAGGGCATTTTCCTTCAAAAGGAATCCCCAAGAGATAAGTCCAGAATTAGCCAGCACAACAAAGCAGGGTATGATGCATGGTATGTGGAGATGGAAAGTGCTATAGAGGAGGATTTAAAGGAAACATCTCCCAGAGAGCATTAAATGGGGCCTCGAGGGCAGGAATCGATTCTATACACATGCAATGCATGTCACATTGTCTGCTATGCTAATCAGACACATTGTATGGATTCAGTAAGTATCTTTTCATTAACTGATAATATGACTAAACAAGTAATGCTAGTCTTGCCAGGTAAAGTATAGGAAGCCCAGTTAATTTTGAATTTCAGATTAACAAAAAAAATTAGTATATAAAATATTGATGAGGCCTATGCTTAAAAGTAATCATTTATTTGAAGTTAAAAATCAAGTAACTACACACACGCATATGTGTATGTACATAAGAATATACATTTTTTTCTTCCTAAATATGGCAGTCATAGGTAATAGTGTATAATTTTATGGCTTTGTCAAAGTTACCAATACACTGAATATCAGTATTTGAATTTCACTCAAAAATAAAGTAAGTCACTTACTTTATGTTGTTTGGAGTTTGGTTCTTCCTTGAGCAAGCAAACGACGTAAAATAAGGGAAAGAAAGGAAGAAAAGACATTTGTGAATCAAAAACAGTGACTAAAGATAAATGAATGAAAAACTCCAGTGACTGAATTGAGACTACATAGAAGGTAAGGGTGATATATACTGAAGAGAAAGTTGTTTGCAACATAGGTACAAAGATGTGATGGGAAATTAGAATGTTTATTTTTTTAAAGATTTATTTCATTTACGCTTATGAGAACTGGGGTGTAGGCCAGAGGTGCAAGGGGTGAGAGGATTCACCAGAGACAGAGTGGGGAACAGAACAGGCAGACTGACTGAAATACACTACTGAGGGGAGAAGTAGGCGAGTCAGGAGAGGTCTGCTGCGCCACGTGGGCTGCTCCCTGGCCAGTCTGGGATTGAACTTGTACTGCAGTGGATGGCTTCACAGTTTTGTGCTTAACCCCTTGCACCACCAGAGAGGCCCCAGAATTCGAATGTTTAAAGCAGGAAAAGTTTTAAGGCAGGAGATACAAAAATAGAACCAGGATTGATGAGGTGTGAGGTGTAGCAAAACCCCTCCTGCCCCAACACATACATCTCTGTGCTCAAGTGACTGATCTATTACTGCTACCAGTGGAGCTATCACCAGCCACCAGGAGTACAGGGACTTGATAATGATTGCCTCAGGACAGATGAGAGAGAGAAACTGGCCACCAGTGACAGGGAAAGGAAAATCAAGTGGTGTAAGGAAGTCTGCAGGGCTACAGAAAGGGGGTGAAGGACACATATACATGCACAAACCACACACATATGCACAAAGGGAAAAAAATGGGATGTTGTAACAAAGATAAGTTCTAGGAAAGGAGCATAGGCTGAGAATAAAAGTCTTAAAAATAAACTCATATCCAATACAGTGGAATATTAGTCAGCCTTAAAAAAGAAATCCTGCAATATGCAACAACATGAGGGAAATAAGGAAATTATGGTAAGGGAAAAAAGCCAGTCCCAGAAAGGCAAATACTGCATAATTCCACCTACTTGAGGTATCTAAAATTGTCAAGTTTGTAGAATCGGAGTTAAATGGTGGTTTTCTGAGGGGGAGAAAAAAAGGGAATATTACTAACCAAGGAGCATCAAGTTTCAGTTAAGCAAGATACATTCTAGAGACCTGCTGAATGAAGACATGTCTATCATGAACAATATTGTATTGTGTGCTGAAAATTTTAAAAGGATAGATCTCATGCTAAGTGGTCTTACCACAATGCAATAAAACCATAAAATAACCTATCGTGAAAATTGTAGACTGTGAAGCAAAATTTTTTAATTTATAACAAATAATTTATATTTGTATGATAGTTCTTTCTAAATTATTCAATATGGCTTTTTCCCCTTCCCAAACTATATAAGCAAGGATAAAGAATACTTCAATATCATCTCCTTGGCATTTATGGGCTGGGAGTTTGTTTTACTTCCTATAGAAGTGTTGAGGCATTAGTCACCAGATATAGTGAAACAGATATAGACAAGTAACAATCTAATAGATCAACCTAAAAATTCTATGTATGACATTTATCCAGAATCCTGGACAACTGTTTGATGCGCAGTTTTATAAGTCAAGAACTGGCTTCCCAAGTAGCTCATGGCTTTTTGGTCTTACTACAGTGATTCATAGGATGGAATTCTAAAAATTTGTGCTTATAATATATTTGAAATACATTTTACTTGTACTCTGTTAATGATAGTTTTGTACATGTGTAGAAGGACGGTGGAAGGGAGAAATTTCACTGAAGAATTTTATTTTTCTGTTTCCAAAACTGAAGAAGAACCAAAATTCTACACTGATGGCCCAGGCTTGTTTTCAGTTCAACTTCAAAGAGAGAAAACCTGCTTTTCTAGGGAACTGCAGAAGGGCAGCTCAACTGTCCTGCCTTGAAAACCTGTCTCCCAATAAATCAGCCATGACAGAAAGCACTTCTTATAAAAAAAAAACAGCAACACCTTTTCTTCCTCTGTCTCCTGTTTGTCTTTCCTATATGACATCTAGATAGGATGAAGAATTAGGAGTCGCACACCCTTGTAATTTTTACAGTCTTCTTTGTATGTCCAAAAAGCAGCAATGAAATCTTTATGTCAACTTAGAAGATAGTCTCTAGAAGCAAATGAGGACTCTATGTTGTCCCCTTCATTATCTTTGTCAGCAACTCAGGTGGAAATATAAAGCAAAGTTATCAAATTAGCATTTGAACATAATTTGGGGGTTGAGGAGAGAATTCCAAGTATGTTGGGGTTAGGAGTCACAAAAACCAAAAGCAATTGAACAATATGAGATTTAATATGGGTAAATGTAGTACTTAATACTTGGGTTCTCTCTCTCTCTCTCTCATACACACACACACCATACAACTGTATTCCTACAGACTAGGGGAAGTAAGGCTTTATTGGCTCTTGTATAACAAAGATTTATGGATTTTATTTCAATAAAAGCCAGCAGTTGGATGTGGCTGCTGAGAAAGCTAATGCACCTTTTGAGTGTGGTAATAGACCTATAATGGTGTGGATGAGGGAGTGATTGTCCTGCTGTTGGAACAATCCTGGTCTTACATTCAGCTCTGAGAGCTGAGGAAAACAGACAAACTAGACTATATTCAATGGGGGAATAATCCTTGGATGAGGAAACTCAAAACAATTTCCCATGAGTTTCACCTGAATATCCTGGAAATAAAAGCCTAGAAAAGAGAAGATTCTCTAGACTATTAGCCCAGAGAAGAACAACGTTTGCTAACTTCAAATTATTTATCAGATACCTAAAAGCCTGTAAATAGAAAAGAAATAAGCCATGTTCTAATAAACAGCAGAACTAGAGCCAGTAAGTTTGAGGTTACAAGGAGACATTGGTTCAATACAGGTTTACCTTGCATTTCAGAATGTTACATTCTGCCACTTTGCTTTGTGTTTGTTTTTCTTATCTTTTCTTTTCTTTTCTTTTTTTTTTTTTTGGCACAGAGGAAGACCTAAATTTTATTTGATATCAAGATTGTCATCACCATCACTATCATTGCTATTATTTCTTCCATCCCCACATTATTTGCCACTGGACTTTTCTGAAAAACCAACATTAGTACAGCAGATACTGGTCATTTCACTCAGGGTGGTTTCCTTATACCCCAACGAGAAAAAATTCCCACAGCCACCCAGTGAAAGGACAGAATTCGAGGACCCCCTCTCACTCTACTTAAAGTCACAGTATTGGGCCTCCCCGGTGGCGCAGCGGTTGAGCGCTGGGTTGCGAAGCTGCCCGCAGCCTCTGCAGCGCCGGTTTGATCCCCGGCTGCTCCCCGGCCACCGGAGGAGGGTCCCACATGGCGCGCAGACCTCTCCTGCCGCCGGCTGCTCCCCTCAGCAGTGTACTTTGGTCCTTCTGCCTGTTCTGCTCCCCGCTGTGGCTCTGGTGAATTCTCTCACCCTCCCGCGCTTCTGACTGTACCCAGTGCTTGTATAAACAAACAAACAAACAAACAAATAAATAAATAAAAACATGCCTCTATAAAAAAAAAATCTTAAAAAAAAAAAATAAAGTCACAGTATCAGGCCTGCCTGGTGGCTCAAGGGGTTAAGATGCAACCTATGAAGCTCTCCGCAGCTACTGCAGCACAAGTTTGATCCTGGGCCAGGGAGCTACCCACATGGCGCAGCAGACCTTTCCTGCCTCGCCCACTGCTCTCCTCAGCCGACTTCAGTCACTCTGCCTGTTGTGTTCCCCACTCTCTCTGGTGAATCCTCTCACCCCCCACACCTCTGACCTACATCCCAGCTCTTGTATGCATAAATAAATAAATCTTTAAAATAAATAAATAAAGTCAGTTTCTAAGAATCGCTGGACCACATTAAGTGAGGACTTACTGTACCTGTTCTCAGGAACCGAAGGAAGGCCGAAGAGGACTCTGCTTTTACGACACAGCGTAAAGCCACCCTGTCGCAAAAGCGCGACCCGGTTTTCTGGCAGCAGCCGGGACGCCCGAGCTCTGCGCGGGCTGTGCTTTTACCAGGCTGTCCTGCTTGGCAAAATGTGAGTGGGTTTTAGGTTCTCTGTGTTATTTCGTAGGATTTGGTGGATTGTTTCTTGGGACTGGGAACTCAAAAATGTTCCATCAATCAATTATAATTGCTTCTTTCTTTTATGCCATTTCCCACGCTTATGAAAATCTGGGACCATCCCCGGCCGGCCTGCGAGGGTCCCACATGGCGCGGCAGACCTCTCCTGTCTTGCCAGCTGCTCCCCTCAGCAGTGTATTTCGTCAGTCTTCCTGTTCTGTTCCCCGCTCTGTCTCTGGTAAATCCTCTCACGCTCCCCGCAGATCTGACCTGTACCCCGGTTCTTGTATGGCTAAATAAATAAATCTTTTAAAAAGAAAATTTGCATAGGAACGCTGGGCTTCTGGATGGGGGTAGGGAACCTGTATGCAGAAATGCTGGTTTTCTGAATTTAAAGTGGGTTATTTAATTAATTATTCTTTTTTAATGAAATACTATTTTTTTAAAGCCTTGTTAATGTTTTGGTAATATAGGATTTATCACCTCAGGTGTGGTCACCATAGCTCTCCCACCAGCAAAGGGCCCATAGTCCTCACCACAGTCCATTGTGCTCTCTGTACAGCCAATCTCATTCTCATCCCTACCCTCCCGTTCTAGGTGCCTCAGATCTATGGTCAATTATGTTTGGTTTCTCTTTTTCCACATATATGTGACACTGTTTGGTATTTATCTTTCTCCTTCTGGTAACATAACCCCTTCTAGCTCCATCCATGTTGCTGCAAATGGCATGAGTTTATCTTTTTTGACTGCTGAGTAGTATTCCATTCTGTATATATATATATATACACCACATTTTCTTGATTAGAGTGGGTTATTTTAGAGGAGTTCCTCAAATGGGAAAAGACAGTCAATGATTTTTTTTTTTTAAATATTTATTTATGCATGCAAGAACTGGGGTGTAGACCAGAGGTGTAGGGGGATGAGAGGATTCACCAGAGAGAGTGGAGAGCAGAACAGGAGGATCTACTGAAATACACTGCTGAGGGGAACCGTGGGAGAAACAGGAGAGGTCTGCTGCGCTATGTGGGTTGCTCCTGGCAGGAGGGGATTGGAACACTTGCTGCAGTGGCTGGCGATAGCTTGATAGCACTGTCTTGAACCCCTGTACCACCAGGGAGGCCCAAGACAATCAATGTTAAAGAAGTCAATGTTAAAGAAATCAGTGTGAAGATAAATGTTTTAGAGAACATATAAGACCTTGGAGACAGTATAAATATAGCCCATAAAGTCTCATTATCTGAAATCAAGCAACTAGAATCCACATTTAGGGTCTGTGTAGCACTACAAAATAAATAACTCCTTGTTCCCCAGTTTCATCATGTCTGAATAAAAACAGTAGAAATTAACTCAGAATTGTTGGGAAGATTAAATGAGAAAACACATATATAGCAATCAGCACAGTGGAATTATTTAATGCCATGTTTTTGTTTTAAGATTCAGGTCCCTTCATTCCTGGCAGTTGGTAATCATTCATAAGGAAGATTATTGTTTGACTTGAACAATCTCTGCATTGGGTCCTCTTTCTCTACTGCTTCAAATTTTGGCACCATCTACATCTGTATCATTTATTTATTTATATCACTTAGCAGGATACAGAAGCTATGAAAATGCTTAAGATTCATTCACACTCTGTTAGCTGTGACTACAGTGCAGTTATAGCCCATTAAGTGTTGACAAAGTTAGTATTTCTTGTATTAATGTTACCTTGGGAAAAATGCAGAAGAGAAAAGAGTAAATTCATAGATCTTGATTTCAAACTTATGACAAACTCCTCACATTATAATTTGCACCCCATTAATTAACCTAGAGTGTGGGTTTTTTTTTTTATCACTGCCTCTGATGTGGCCTATTTAAACATAAAGAAAACTACATGGAGGGGCTAAAACTCTCAAAAGGTGAGGTATAGGCAATAGGCGGAGATGTCCTGGATAATACAGGGACCCATGATGCATCTGAACTAGGGGCAAGGAAGGAGTACAAAGTGAGGAA